TAATACAGATTAGGAAAATCTACAAATATAAATCAACAACACTTCTAAATACTGTAAAAAATGCATTTAGCATTTATTAACGAATGTTCCACTGCGTGTCCTAATTCCCCACCCATTAAACCCTATAACCACGGTTTTCGTAGGAAAATATGCAGGGAGTAGGGATTAAGGAGTGGGCCTACATAAGCTACTGTCGCCGGCATGTCGAAGGCCATGAATTTAATCACACTTGGATCGCTTTATCCGCCCAGCTTGCTGCACGCATGGGATCCACCAATATGTATACAGTAAGCTGACTGTCCAGGCAGGATTTCCTAAGCAATCATCAAGAATCCACTAGAATGACTTCTAGGCTCACTTAATTATTAGGAGGGTTTGACCGACTTGAATAATTCAGTTGACTCAGTTGTGAAAAAATCCTGGCCTCGGTGGGATCCGAACCCACGTCGGCAGAGAAGGCTTTAGTACAGCCAACGCTCTACCATTTGCGGTACGAAGACATGCCGAAAGCCTTGAAAGACCACAGTTCTCGTTTTATGAAAGACATACTTTCTCCTGGGGTCCAGTTCGTGCCTTGTTACAGTTCGCGAGGGATTAACATTGCACGCAGTTCCAAGTAAATCAATAACTAGGCACAAACACATGACCGAAAAAATAACCGATAGCGGGCTAGTTTTAGACTGAGAATACCTTGAATGTCCTTTGCCAGTCGCAAGTGAAAACTTCAACTGCATTTAAGATTATACAGTACAGCCTAGAAGTCGTGTAACATGCCGACATATGTGAAAGACTGATATTCTCGCACTGATCGGCATTGAGAACGGTTGTAATACTGATTATCATGAAGTCATTTCAGTCATGATAGGATGCCGGCTTTTAACAAGCTTCTTTCTGACCGCTAAAACGTATGTACGGTATAAATGGCTACTTAAATAGCGTGTATTTTTCGCATGGATTTTGATTGCCTTTATAAATTCAAATATATTTTATGGAAAATAGTCACAAAAAATTATTTCTTGTACTCGTTTGATAGCAAATTACGTCTCCTTTAAATTTTGTACTTAAAGAAAGGGTATCTTTCTTGATCCATATCCACTTCAGTAGGACTTGAAAGCTAGCAAACCTCATCCTAAGAAACTGTAGGTTTGCCATAAATATACAATACAGTGATAAAGAACCCCTTGTGACTCTATTCTACGCTAGTCGAAATAACAAGTGGTTTCCACATAGAGCTCAATTATTTAGGTTTACAATATACCTATAAAGGTGTATACCTTGCCTATCAATCCGGATTTTTCTACTTGTCCAGAGAAGCGCGAGGTCTCTCAAGGGTCATTTATTTTGCCTATCTTCTGTTGGGGTTGAAAGGGTACCAACCTGGTAAAGAATTTTCATCACTATTTCGAATTATTCCAGTCATTTTCTCGAAAATATGGCCTTCACGGAAACACGTTATATTTTTCAGGAAGCAGATATCGCCATCGGTAATTACGCCGTCCTCCCAGAACTTACCACCTCCTTCGACTTTCTGAGCAATTACCTCTACTTCACGTACTCGGTGCTGGAGGAACCCTCAAGAGCTCTTCCAGTAGGAGCAAGCCTGTTTGACTTCTTCGGACCCCTCACAGATGGCTTCTGGGTCCTCATATTCTTCTCAGCCGTCATAGTTGCACTTGCAATGGCCACACTCAACTATTTTTCACCAAACAACCTGGACTTTGGATTCATGGAGTCTATATTCGTGGCATTCGGCTGCCTATTTCAAGGCCTTTCAGTGCCTCCACCAAATCAGTGGTCGAGCAGGATACTGCTTTCGGTTTGGTGGATGTTCTCGCTGTTTTTTGTCATCATTTATGCCACCAACTACGGAGCACTGAAGACACAGAGTGGCATGTCCAGCGTAGTGTCCGGCTTTGATGTGAGTCCTGCTTCACCTGTTCAATTCAATTCAATTCTATTCAGGGGAAGACATGCAACCGCCCTTGAGCTTCCTATTGTCAACACAGTGGCTAAGAAACACATAGATACAGCAGAGCAATTCAAAAAGAGGTCATTTACGTGATTGTAGCCGAAAAGCGAGTAGTCGTTGGTTAGTCGAAAGGAGTAAACATAACCACTACTCACTTACTCCAAGTAGTATGATCAGACATGTAATTTGCTTCTGAACTGGTATCTCGGCGACTAGCGCGGAAGCCCGGCTCGCCTTGGGCTTCCTTACATGTTGTTGTCCCTTATGTAGGTAAACCGTATAGGAGAACCTCTTAAAATG